AGATGTTTCATGCTGAACGTGATGGCAAAGATTGTGACGGTTTTCTATTTCTGCCTGGCAGAGCTGAATGAATTTGGGGAGAAGACCATGTTTTCCCTACTTTTCACTTTGTACTCCCTGTCTTTCTTGGTGGTGCTCTTCTTTGCGGTCTTGGGCATTCATGGCACATTGAAGTTGCTTGCCAGTCATAATGGACTTGTTCCTTCCGGACCCCTTTCTGCACGCGACAGCGACAGCGAATCCCCATGCCCCTGCGACACAAGGTCAATTTTCCCTGCTGCTTTACAGGGTCGGGGTGTGAATCGGTGCACGGCTTAGCACTCCTTTCAGCATCGAGTGCTCTACACATGATGGGGGGCGGGGTGAGCGATCAGCTCATTGCACCAGCAAAGCTGAATTGTCCCGAAACATAAATCAGTTGGCATGTTCCCCAGAAACCCTTGAACCGAGATCTGTCCTTTTTCAATCTTGGAATGCGCGGGGTCCCATGCGACCTGGTGTCTCCTAATCTGCTGAGGCTACCTGGTGGCAGGCAATTGGCACAATTCTTCTTGTCACGTTTGGTGGTCTCGGGCAACTGGAGGCTGAGTAGACTGAGTAGGACGGAGCTCGAAAGCTCAGAGTGTTCCGAGTCCACGGGAGATGTGTCGGAGTCCGGATCCGAGAGTTCCAGCTAAACAGCAGGCTCTCTGGCGTATTCCGGAGCAACGCCTATAGCCTATAGCTTTCAACATCTGAAGAGCAGGTTCAGTTCCGAAACGGTGTGTTGTTCCATCTTGAAGTTGGGAAGTGCTTCCTTCTGGACATAACTGCGCGCAAAACTACTGATGTCCTTTCCAGTCCCTGCAGGGCGTTCTGCAGAAGAGGAGTTGCAAAACAGAACGAAGGAAGCATATGGGTCCTCTCGTGTTTGGACTTGTGCTGGGCTGGTCCACAAAAAGAACTGGGCGCATACTCTGTTGATCCTGTGTTTTGATAGGCTAAGGAATGCAAGTGTAAGATGTCCAGACCCAGAATTCCAGTTGAATAGATGGCTCAATATCCCCCTTAGAATGTTCCCTAGGAGATGGTTGGACCCAAGTCCCGTAGAGAAGGGGTCATTTTCTAGTCAGACATGCTGCCCATATATTGCTGGAGCCCCACCGCTTTCTATAAAACAGCTGTTTTAATGGATGATACAATCATTTGTTTTGTCATACCTTACCAATTCCTAGAGGACATCTAGAATAGCTGTCTTGTGTGCTTGAAAATAATGGGATACGAAAGAAGGTACAAGAGCAAACAGATTGTCCTCAAAACTCGGGAGCAAAGATTGAATGGAAAAGAAACGTTTCCCACGTTTCTAGAATGCCTAGCAATTTCTAGATAGCGTTTTTACCTGGCCATGACCATTTACTAGACAAAAGTGAATGCCACGTTTTTTTCCAGTTAGAAAATGGTCCACCCAAGTTCACCTTGAAATTCTTTACTGGGATGGGGATGGCTCAATGATATAGATAGACTCACTCCATGTGTTTCTTTTTTGGCTCTTGTCCGTGTCCACACGGTGTAGAAGACCCGACCCCTGCCGCCGTGTTCGACCAACGTCGGCCACGGCCGACGCTGAGGCCACCGTTGCTGGGAGCAGCTGGAGGACGCGACCGAGCAATCCAGCGATCTTTGTCAGAGGCGATCGGTGTGGATTCGGCCTTGTGGCGGTATGTCTTTACATAGACTTGGAATGGGAAGGCACATGACGGGCACAGTTACTGGCACCTTTCTGGTTGACGGGGTGCTTGTCCGATGGTTTGCACATCACGCCCACATCCACCGCGTGGAGTGAGACGGAGTTGCATCTGTGTGTACCCACGACTAGCTCTCGAGTGGTTTAGCTGAGTAGCTCTCGATGTTTGCTGCGCCCGACCTGTTTGTCGCCCCGTGGCAATCAACCACCCCAACGAACATAGGCAAATGTTTCAAGAGCAATGGAGTTTTATGATTGGTTTTTTGGATGCTTTTGCTCAACAGCTTGGGAAAGTTGCTGTCATTCTGT